TTTGTTCATGAGACTCAACGTCCCTTGAAGCTCTTCCTTCGTCAATGTTGACAAGTCTTTCGACTCTCTATGGCTACTACCACGTGGTCGAACTTTGGAGCCAACAACCTCAAGATCTTTGCAACAACTGATCTTGATGTCAACACTTCTCCACATACCTTGATTTGATTCATCAGCTTTATAACTCTAGTGAAGAAATCTGATATACTTTCACTTTCTTCCATCTGAAGCAATTCATAGGTTCTCTTGTGAGTTTGTAACCTCACCTATTTCACCTTTTATGTGCCTCCAAACGAATTTTCAAGAATCTCTCACGCTTCCTTCATTGATTATACATCACTAACCTTTTCAGAATTATCTGGATCTACACATTGACGAATTATAAGAGAGCTTTATAATCTTTCTTCTTCAATTCTTCGAATGCAGCCTTTTCTTAATTCGTCGCGTTTTCTGCAAGCGGTGTTACTCCTCCCCTTCACAAGATCCCAAAGATCTTGATAATAGAAAACCACCTTAATCTACTTGCACCAATTCTCATAATTATCTTTCTTGAGAATTGGAAGGTTTGCCGTAAAGTGACTGTTTGGATGATTCATCGCCATCACAATTTTCTTCCTTGAATCGTAACTAGAGCTCTAGATACCAGATGTTAGAAATTCAACAACAACCTATGGAAAATCTCACTCAATCAATCTTGATCTCAAGATTGTTTTAATTCACGTAATGACAATGAAAGAATAGTTTAGAAAGAAAGAAGAAAGTAAATGTTGGAGAAGAAGAAGATGAACAATTTTCTACAGAGAACTCTTTGCCCACAAACTGTGAAAATTTTGTTATTTCACTTGTAACTACAAACTGTGAATTACAAAATATGATGAGATGAGATGAGATAAGGGTTTCTCCCTATTTATAGATTTAGGTTAGCTTGCACCCCAAGTCAAAGCCCAAACAATAAAAGTCCAAAAATATCTAATCTAATCATTCTAAATCAAATATGATCTTTCTAAATCAAATCTAATCTTTCTAAAACAATGAATTACATATTTAACAAGTATCCCGGGGACTTCCATAGAAATCTGGATTCGATTACTTTGAAGTGTTTGCATTTGTAGCTAGACATGAAATAATCAGATTTGTGATTGCTATAGCTGTTAGTAGAAATTGACCTCTGATGCATTTAGATGTGAAAATTGCATTTCTGAATGGTCCTTTACAAGAGGAAGTTTATGTGTCACAACCTCATGGATTTGTGAAAAAAATCAAGAAGGGATGACGTATAAGTTGCATAAAGCTTTGTATGAATTGAAACAAGCTCATAGAGCCTGAAATCTGAAAATTGATTCATTTTTCAAGCTTCAAGGATTCAGAAAATGTGAGATGGAGTATGACGTTTATGTTTAGCATACATTTGATAGCAATATGATTCTTGTGTCTTTATATTGATGACATATTGCTAACAAGAAGTTGTTCATATGACATAGCTATGTTCAAGTAGGTGTTGATGAATGAGTTTGAGATGATTGATCTAGGAAATATGACATATTTTCTAAGAATAGAGATTTTGTACTCTGATAACGGTATAATCTTGTGTCATTTAAAGTATGAACTTGAACTTCTGAAGAAATTTGAGCTAATGAATTGCAAGTCTGTAATTACACCTGTTGAAACAAATCACAAGCTAGATTCTGATGTTGTGGGTGATGATGTGGATGTTACGACTTTCAGAAAAGTTGGTAGACTCCTTGAGATATCTCTGTAACCAATACCATACCTTATATTTGCTATGCAATTAGAATAAGTGATCACATTACCAAGCTACTGAGGTATATCAAGGGGACTCTGAAGTATGGAGTTTTGTTCCCTTCTGATGTTGAATCTGATTCAAAGTTGATGTGCTATCCAGACTCTGATTAGTATGGAGATAGAGTTGATAAAAGAAGTACTTATGCATATTTCTTCAAGTATCTAAGAGGTCCTATTTCTTAGTGTTCCAAGAAGCAACCAGTTGTTGCATTGTCAACCTGTGAAGCTGAGTACATTGCAGGTGCTTTGTCTGCTTATCAAGCTTCGTGGATTTTAAACTTGTTGCAGGATCTAAAGATCAAGTTGAACAAACCTGTAAAGTTGATGGTTGACAATAAACCAACTATAAGCCTTGCCAAGAATCCAATGCTGCATGGAAGAAGAAAGCACATTGACACGAAGTTTCATTTTCTGAGAAACAAGATTCAGAATGGAGTGTTTGAAGTTGTGCATTGTACCACTCAGAAGCAGTTGACAAATGTGCTAACCAAAGCAATCAAGACTGAACACTTTATTCATTTGAGGGATGAAATTAGTGTTGTTGATTTTAATTAACTGAATATGAATTAAAGGATGGTGTTAGATATAATTCATTTTCAGTTGTATTTAAGTTTAATTTAGCTTGCATCTGAATTTGCATTTGGACTATGATCGTATAAATACTAAAAGTTAGTTTTTCCAGTTTTAAAGTGTAACCGAATTTTAATTTATAAAAGTTAGTTATAATTTTTCTCTCTTCTTTCTCATCCATCTTCATCTTCTTCTTTCTTATGCAACAACAAAAATATTGATGACTGCATTTGTCTTATGTGAGAGATTATCATTCTTAATCAAAGATCAATAAGGGTAATGTGACATTGAAGATTGATATTAGAAAATATTTTTGACATTCTTGATTTTCACTTTCTAATTATAGTGCTTCATAGTTTAAGTGATAAGTTTTTGTTGAATCAACATTATTCTTTCTTGCTACAAGCTCTCCGTCTTAGTCTGTGAGCAAGTTTACTAGTTTCTTTTTCTTGTCAAAAAGGTGTCACACAAGGTGATCATCTATCATTTTAATTTTATTTTATTTTATTAGTTTATTTTTTATTTTTATTTGTTGCAAATTATTTGTCTTTTTTAAATATTAATATCATATTTATTATTTATTTTTATTAATTTATATTTTAAATCATATTAATTACTCTACTATCTATTACTATTAATAAAATTATTTTAAAAATTATATTATTTTATTATTAAAATCAATACAATTAATGATTATCGTAAAAAATATGAAAATTTTAAAGAAAACATTTAGTATAAGATGGAAAGAGCATATAAGAGATAAGACTAAAAAGCATTAAAATTAATGAAATCATTTATTATTTTAACTTTTTAAATATTTCTTGAATTGAGTGAATTAGATACTGTATTGTGCACAAATATAAATAAATTAGCTTTTTCAAATGCATAACAAAAGGAAGTTTTATTCTATATATATATATATATATAGAAAAAGAGCAAAGGCTACCTAAAGAAAAATAAAAAAAACTCAAAAAAAGGAAAAATATTAATTAAAAAGAGATAAACATGGGAAATCACAAAATGGACACACACACAAACCCCTGAAAGAAAAGCCAAATCTCAATGTTTCCTCTATCTCTGTCTCATCTCTTTATCTCTCCACACAAACACTCCTCAAGCCTCCACGTGTCACAGGGTTTGGTTTGGGTTGGGTTAGGGGTTAAGAAAAAAACTGGGTCTAAAGAGGGTTTAGGTAGAAAAAATGACCTGCTATAACCGGTAATGTAACACTTTTACCTGCCAGTCCGGTTATGTGGTGAAAACATCGTAGCTATAAAGGGTTTAAGGGTACTGTTGCGTGGGTATTGGTGGGTTTTTGTGTCCTAAACTCTTCTATCTACTATTCTATCTATTCTATTGTTTTCTTTCATCTCACAATCACATAACAATTATTTCTTTCTTAAAATATTAAAAAAAAAAAAATTTCACATTATTATTATTATTGAAGAACAGAGAAAAAAAACTTGAGAGGTTTTTGTGTTTCAGTTCTGAATTCCGTTTAGATCTCAAGCATTCTCCGACAATTTCCTAGTTTGTACTTTTTTTTCTTCATTTGTCAGAGACAGAATGGGTTACCTCGGATTTTTTGTTACGTGATCACAACTTTGTTCATCGGATCGTTGTTCGAATGTTGTTTTTCCAAGAGGTGAGTTTGTTTGTGATGTTTTGTATGTTGATCTCACGAGTTTGAACTTCGGGTTTTGGTGTTTTTTGTTTTGTTTTGTTGTTGTTACGATCTCATCATGGTGAAGATTGTTTGGTGAATCTGTGAAATTCTTGTTGAATTGTGAAGATTTAGGTGAAAAGAGAAATTGTGGTTGCGTGTAAATGAATTCTGCTCTAACATCTGAAGATTCTGTTTTTACTATTGAAAAAGTAATGGGGTTGAACTCAGGGATGGGAATTGAGATCCGATCGTGGAAGTTAAGGTGTTTTTGTCGTATACAACTGGTTTTTCGTTGGTTTCAATGTTAAATTTTTTATTTTTTTTTTGGTGTGGGGTTTTTGGACTACTTTGATTTGGCCTAAAAAGTGCTTTTTTTTTTTTAAATCTATTATGATCATGAATTTTGATTCTTTTAATTCCATGGAATTGGAATTGTTTCTAAAACTCCATGGAATTCATCTCAATCCATAATAGCGGTGATCTTTCGTGCCGATGATTTCTGTTTATGTTACTTTTGTGATCTGGATTCAACCTTTGCAGCCAATAGTAGTCAATTTCTGTTGCTGTTGAATCTTGTGTTAAATTGGGAGTTTTTTTGGAGTTGTTTTAAATCAGATCTTAATTGTTCTCTGTGTATTCAATTTGAGTTGAAATTATGTTCAACTGTTACATTTGGATGGATCATATGACAGATTTGTTTTTCTGATGATGTCTTGCTTCTTTGTTTTTGTGATTTTGTATCATATTTATTTCTCTTGTACTTCAATGTTAGTTTCTAAATTAATGTTGTGAATATTCCTTTTTGCCTTTGTACAATTTTGACTGTATAATAATTGTTTATTTGAAATAGTTGAAAATGTGAGAGTGTTAGTGATATTAATCCCGTTCGATGTTATGACAGTGACGAGGATCTGTTGAATTGATGCTTCTGGTTATTTGATGAGAGATTTATGTTTAAATTATGGTGTTTAAGAAGAGGGCAAATAATGGATTCACTGGCTTTCAAGTTCCCGTTATTCCTCGAGCTCCTAGATCTGCAAGAGTAAGCACTTAATCATATATGCATTCTTCGCAATTGTGTTATGCATTTCATTTTCGCGTTTTGAATTCTGTTTTAATACCTTTAAGTTTTGTAATTGTTCAGCGGAGGGGTCCATTGAAAAAAACGGTTGACGATGGTCAAGTTTGTGCGTTTGAAATATTGGCATCTATAGCTGGGAAGCTATTGGAGGAGGGTGAAAGTTCGGCGTCCAGCAATGCTTCAGGAGGAAATAGCCAGGGCGTCATTGTGGAAAATCGACAAGATGAAGTTAAACCATCGATAACGGAGGGGATTCACCAGGGAAGCTGTACAGAGAGTATTTTCACAACGGAGGTAGCCTCGCAAAACCGTGATCAAAAACCTATTCTGCACGCCAAGTCCGATTTTTCATTGGAAAAAGGTGAAAAAGCTAATGTGAAGACCGAAACTGTTGAATCGGATGATAAATATATGAGTTATACTAATAGATTAGTAGTAGAAGCACCTGAAAATTTCAGGGAGTCTTATAACAGGAAAATAAAGAAAGGATTCAGATCCGATAAATTTGGTTTGAAAGACCGGTTAGAATTGTACATGTCTCCTTCTCTGGTCGACTCGAAAGTTAATGTAAAATATCCATTTCATAGGAAGCCATTTCCCACTAATTCCTTTACCAAGGATGGGAATGACATTAAGTTAGATTTTAGAGATGATGACGAAAACTTTATAAGGTGTACAAAGGTTTGCGCCAAGTCGAAGACTTTTAGGTCTCCGCGACGTATGGCACACCGCAGAATCAAGAATCTGCTGTCTTCTAAATACTGGAACGTTGCTCCCAAATTGAAGGACTGTGAACTTTCTAGATCTGGTAAGCGTGGTACCAAATGCATACAGAAAATGTCTCTGAGTTTCTTGATTGTGTTTTTACCTGAAAAAGTACTGTTGAATTTGCAGATCTAGAAGTACCTCTTTATCGGAAGAGGAAGACTTCGAACGGATCCGACAAATCTCGCCACAACACTATTGTTAAGAGGAGGAAATTCTTTGACCGGGTTTCTGGAGTAACTTCTGATGGGGGATTCAGCAGTGAGAGTGTATCTAACTCGCCCGAGAAAGGAAATGACGGACACAAGCCTAGCTCTTCTGCAAAAATACAAGTAACCGAGGAATCTCGTGGTAACTAATTCTCCGATATTCCTTCATTGTTTATCTTGATTTGATTGTTCAGTACACTGATTAGTTGTTTGTGTGATTTATATTCCTCATAAACAGTGAAGTTTAGCATCAAATCATTTAGAATACCGGAGCTTTACATTGAGGTTCCTGAAACTGCAACCGTCGGTTCACTGAAGGTATAAATAGAGCTTCCCAACATAGATCTTATTGTTGTCATTTGTTAAGACTCATCTATAAACTGTGTATTGTTGCAACTTTTTTGTAGAGGACAGTCATGGAGGCGGTAATGGCTATAATCGAAGGTGGTATGCATGTTGGTGTTCTTCTTCAGGGCGAAGCAATCGGAGATGACAATAGAACACTTGAGCAGACAGGTTTATCTTGCAATGAGAATCTCGATACCCTTAGCTTCATGTTGGAGCCTAGTTCAATACTAGCTTCTCCAGTTTCTTGTATCGGCGATCCTTCCTCTCAATGCGATACATCCGAACCTACCAGGTGAGTGGAATTTGATAACATAATTCCTTTTCATTTCCATAGTTGATTTATGAAGGGAGAATCACAATGCTTGTTAAAGAAATTCGCTTATTATTCAGCTATAGCTAATATCATCGTTTGATTTTTTTAGGTCTCCAGAAACTCTTGCATTAGATTCAGGGATAACCGATACCATACATGACTCCAATTTGCCGATAGTTCCAGGCAACCTAGTGGAAAATAACCATGATTCTGCTTATTCTCCCGTTGACACCATAGTTGACAAGATAACACCAGATTCCAAAGCGATAGTTGCTCTTCCGGCCAATAACGAAGCATTAGCTGTGGTACCACTGAGTCAGAAAATCAAGCGCTCTGAGTTTGCACATCGTCGAACTAGAAGACCATTCTCTGTGACTGAGGTAGAAGCACTTGTTCATGCAGTTGAAGAACTAGGGACTGGAAGGTATGATTTTATTTATCAATACATCAACGGCTCTACGTTTTGATAGACGATAAAACTGACTTGCTGGTAATATTTCTGCCTTGCAGGTGGCGTGATGTTAAGTTGCGAGCTTTTGATAATGCAGATCATAGAACTTATGTTGACTTAAAGGTAAGTTGTTTCTTTCGTTCTCTCGATACACAAAGTGTCCTTTAAACCGAGAGATTGAAACCTCTTTGGATTGATTTATTTGAATTTATCTCCTGACATTTCCATAAGCTCTCCAAGATAGCTTTTAAATAATCACTTATATGATAGTTACTTATGCTATAAGCGATTAATTAAGAAGCACTTTAACCAAACATGGCCTTATTTGTGCATGCAGGATAAATGGAAAACACTAGTGCACACTGCAAAAATCTCCCCACAACAAAGGAGAGGAGAGCCAGTACCTCAGGAGTTGTTGGACAGGGTTTTAGGAGCACATGCTTATTGGTCCCAGCACCAAATCAAGCAACATGGGAAACATCAAAGTGGAACATTGAAGATTACAGAAGCTTCAGCTGAAAGGGTGTCGATTCAGGTGTAGAAAAGGACTTGTGCATTGTTGAACAGGGAAAAAAAGGAAAGACAAACTTGTACATTTTGATTTAATTTCTTGTAATATTCTCTCACACCAAATTCTTTGCCAACCGTTAATTGCTTTTGTGTTGGTATTTTGTAAATGATTTGATGCAATAAAGATTACTCTAACAGGAACTTATGCTGTTCTTTCATTTGTCTTTTTTCTTCCATTTGTATGTAACATTTGTCAAATGAATATTGACATAAGAAAAAGAAAGGAAAATGATCTCCTTGTTATATAAGTAACATCTTTCATTCTATTTATAGAAATTGTTTTTTAACAACATTTCTTTGTTACTATGTGTGAATATGTAATTTTCTTTTATGTTTGGCAGATAAAACGATAATAACTTATTAAAAATTATGTGTCTGAATTCGAATTTGGACATAACAATATGACAATAGTGATATATATGTATTGTTGTAGAGTTTTGATTTGGAAAATGATTGATGGTTAGAAAATGGGTGATAATTGGATCACAATGTATTTGGTGTGATTGAATGATTAGGAAAATTTGAAAAATGGCATCTTATCCATATATGAGAAGATGAGGTCATGGATATGACCCACCATTATTATGAGTAATTTGTGATGAGTACAATCTCTTGTTGTTTTTAGTAGTAAAATGAAAAGTAAAGGAAGACAAAGTGGGTTTGAGGACATAAATAGCCGAAACGTAGAATATTCCATCTCTTACATATGATCCTTATCCGCACCTTTGCAACAAATTCCATATCCACGTGCATGCACCATACAAATTTATTTTTATTTTTATTTTTAAATTTTGCAAGGAGAAAAGAAAATGAAAAATAGTATTATTGAGTGGTGGTATATATTTTGGTTTAATACTTGATGTTGAAATAAATGTTATTGATTCTTATTACGTTTTAATTTATTTATTTTTAAACAACTTAGCTATTAATATAAAAAAACCTAATGTTTTAATTAAGTATTATAGTGTGCATATTTTAATTTAATTCAAAATGAAATAGTATTTTAAGGTCTAAAATAAATTTTATTGAGATTTTATATGCAAGTGAAAATGCGTTGGAATATTTGCATACACGGTTGGATTATTATTCTTAGAACAGAATATGCTACATTTTTTTGTACCAAAAACTATATTCTCTTAGTGTGTGTGTATATATATATATATATATATATATATATATATATATATATATATATATATATATATATATATATATATATATATATATATATATATATATATATATATATATATATATATATATATATATATATATATATATATATATATATATATATATATATATATATATATATATATATATATATATATATATATATATATATATATATATATATATATATATATATATATATATATATATATATATATATATATATATATATATATATATATATATATATATATATATATATATATATATATATATATATATATATATATATATATATATATATATATATATATATATATATATATATATCACATGTGATAAAATAATTGAACGTCATATTTTATCTTATTTTTTCAAGGGTAATGTTAACTTGTGCCCCAAGAGGCGGGTTTAACTATATTTACACCCACATCTGCCTTCACGATTTCAAACTCAATTGGGGATAAAAATTTATCATCCAGACCTGCCTCTAATAGAGAACGGCAGGCGTATCCGCATCCGCCCCGCCCTGACCCGTATTTTTTTAATTATAATAAAAATTAATAATTTAATTAAAAAAATAATTATTTTAATAAATTAATTAATTATTTAATTAAAATTTTAATTAGTAAATAAATATTAACTTGATTATTTAATTGCAATAAAGACATTAATAATTATTAAAAATATAATTAATAAATGAATATTAAAATAAATAAAATAAGAGAATTTAAGTAAAATGCATTATTCGGGGGCGGGTGCAGGCGAGTCTTAGTGTCTTCCCACACCTGCACTTGCACCCATAGTTAAGAATCAGATTTTATTGGCACTCGCACTCAATTAAATTAAATTTTTTTCATTAATTTTGGAACGGATCCGGACGGATGCAGACAAATTTAAATTTGTTTGTCATTCCTAATTAAAAATAAACACAATTTTCCTTTTCACCCTCTGCAAAATAAATTAAATAAATAAAGAATATATGACTATGCCATACAATTGGATTATCCAATATACAAAGGCGATATTTTATTTGTTGTTAGGAAATCAAAGAGCTTTCTCAATATTAATAAATGTTAGTTCTTTTAGTAAGAAGTTGATTCATTTTTTAAAAGGTCACAAAAACCCTCACTTGACCTTTTAATTTTATTATTTTTTGAGTTTTTTCTTTATTGACTTTTTTAGAGACTTTTTCTATTTATTGAACTTTTTCAGAGGCTTAAATGAATAAACTCAACGTTCAATTTGTTTTAAAAGAAAATTAGGAAAATTTTCTCAAAATAAAAAATAAATTCTGAAAATATTTTACAATTTTAAGAAACTGAATTTTTATAAAAATGATTTGAAGTGCGTTTTAAAAAATTTACGAAATCTTACTATTTTTTTAAAAACTAAACTTTTGTTTGCTAAAGGCAGAAAACATATTGCTTACATCTAATATTTAAAAATACTTAATTTTTATATACAAAATTTGGATGAAAAAGTTGAGCCCTTTGCATAAAACTATATTCCCTCTTTTCAAAACGACGTCGTTTTAAAGGAAAAAAATTGTTTTTAAATAAATGTCATTTTCACTTTTCAATGTAGTAATAATTGTTATTTTTCTAATTGTGTCATATAACTATTACTCTGTACACTATTTTTAATATATTAATAAGACTAATTTAGTAAAAGTGCAATATTTTATGACAATATCATTACATTCCTTAATATGTGTGCAAAAACCTTAAACGACAGTCATTTTGAAACGGATGGAGTAGTTCATAGGAGTAATGGTCCAATTTAAAAAACATCATAAATAAATAGGGTTTCGTTAAACTTAATGAGTGTTTCTTTGCCGTTGTGAAAAGTTACAAATATCTTTAATGTCCGAGATGTATTTTTAAACGCACATTTTTTTCACACTCATCCGCATAAATTATTGATATTTTATTAAAATTTAATTCGAAGATACATCTTTGTATCAATATTATGGTGACTTCAGAGATGCATTTGTTAAAACTCTTACTTTAAAATCCAGGGAGTTTTATAGAGGTGCATCTCTGGATGCATTTATTTCATATACCCGCGTCAGGTTCTTCTCTCTTTCTTCTTCATTTGTTTCAAAGTCAGTAAAACCCCCATTTGAGCTCTTTTGCTTGCAAAGTCATTTCCAAGCCTATTGAAGATCATTTTTCAAGGTCAGTCACTCCATTCTACTTTATTTGTTGGAAATACACTCACTTCATTCTAGATTTTCATCCACAACTCTAATTTGTAAGTTTGCTATTTTATTTCTTTTTCTTTTTTTTATAGATTTAAATGATGCTTTAGGTAACATGGGTCGTTTAAGATGCATTAGATGGTAGTACATTCGAAATAGGTAATTGATATAGACGTGTATGTCCATTCCATTGGAGTTTATGACATCAATGGGGTTTCTGCCATTTTTGCAACTCGCGAGTTTATCGAGAGATGCACCTCCAAATTTCGTTTGAACTATTTTCGGAGATGTATCTCTGAATTTGGACCAGTTGCATTTTGGCTGCATTTTGATTGTGATATTTTGGTTTTATTACAAGTTCAATGACTAAAAACAACTAGAACATAATTAGGCTCAGTAGTGTATTCCAACATGCATCTGTATGATGTGAGAGGGTTAGAGGCAGGGCCACGGTGCCACGAGTTGATGCTACCTCATTTTATGGTTCTTATGGCCGAGGTTCAAAATCATATGCTTCTACTTCTCAAAATCACATGTCTCAGACATCTACTTCACAGGAAGCCCCTGAAGCCCCTAAAGAATATGAAGCCAATAAGAAGGAACCTGCCGCTGATGTTGATGTCCATGTAAATAGTTATCCAAGAGGTCTATTTGACACCTCTTTACTTCATTTGTATGGAAACTATGCCGCTAGGCATGTCTGGAAAGGAGAGGTATATTATCATTTAATTTTGCATTACATCTGTTTTATATTAATTTAATCGTGGTTGATGGTGATATATTTATTTTTACATAAACATCAATGTTTAAAATCTGTAAACCACAGATGAAAGATTTTGGAACTAGAACAACCCGAAGATGTCTAGTTCAAGAATGTTTTACGCTACCCTAGACTTTCTGGTTTATGTGTTGTTGCGCGCGCTACCATAAACCATGACATGCAGGCGACATTTGCAGAGAGATGGCTTTTTAGAAATGTCATATTTCCACCTTTCTCTTGGTGAGATGACCATTATCCTAGATGATGTATCATGCCTCCTACATCTTCCCATCAGTGGAAATTTATTGGACCATCGAAGACTTAGTTGAGACAAAGCCATCAAGATGATGGTCACCTATTTGGGAGCTAATCCAACTGAGGCCGCAAATGTGGTAGCTGACACAAGAGGTGATCATGCTACATTTAAATTCTTGAAAGGAATTTATAAAGACCACCTACAAATGGTTTTGGATGTCGAAGGTGATGATATGCAGGTTGAGTACCACTGACAATGTGCAATGAGGTGTTACCTTTTATTCTTGGTTGGCACGTCCATATTTGTGGACAAAAGTGCAAACTAATTGATGTGGTCTACCTTAAATACTTCATCGACTTGACGATGATTCACGAGTACAACTGGGGACCACCTGTTTGATATACAGAGCAGTTGACAGGAAGTTGCACGCTGTTTACAGTGGTTACTATTACTTATATTTTCATAACTCCTTTGTTACACTTGTTACTAATATTTTATTTGAACCGTTTTCAGTGATGAATCATCTTTAACTTTTCTCACATTTCTGGCCGACAACCTATGCCTGACTATACTAAGGAT